CCCTCCGGGCGGGAGGCGAAGGTTGGTCCTCCTTTACGTCAATTGGCCGGTATGGGTCGTCCCTCATAGTCGGTGCAGGTGTCTGTCGGTCTCCTCAAGCTCAGTAGACAATGTTTTGGGGTCTAATTGGGGTGGACCGCCCGTCTAGGGTGGTGGACGAGTTAGTGAGTGTCTGACTCGGCGGGACGGTGTGGGGGTGGAGCCGGCCCTGGGGGCTTCGCTTTTTACGGCCTGGCGCGGGGCCCGGGCGAAGGGTTTCGTGGCACAGTTGAGGCGCGGACCCCGAGGCGGGACTCTTTCAAAAAGGCCCTTTAGGTACTGACGGGGCTAGTAGGGACGGGACCACTGTAACGTCAAAAATCGTAATATCGTTGGATTGGCTGGTCGGAAAGGGGGTGCTCTCTAGGGTTCCACCGAAAATAACTAATAGGGGTAGAGTTGCGGCCCTTGCTCCGCCGGTTTTCGCACACCGATTTGGCGACTTGGACCAGTGTCCTGGCGGCTATACGCTCAGAAACCCTGGTCAAATGCCTGGAGGCCGCGACTGCTTGTAAAAAACTAAAAACTTCGTTGGGCAGGGGTCCCGTCCCTTTTCGTCGAGCCCGAGGGGAAATGGTTCGATTCAGTTCCTTTCTGGCCGTCACACAGTCGTCGGGATGGCGTCACCTTAAAGCGGGGTGGCGGTAACGCGGGCTATCACCTGACCTTACGGAAGGGACGAAACAACGCTACGAAATTGAATTACCCGGAACAGACTGGGGATAATTCCGTAGTCGACCGTCGGGGAACTACGGACGGTCACCTTTTGGATCTGAGACAGTAACGGTACCAGGGTAGTTCCTAACTCATTCCGTCGGTGAACCGCTCTTCCTTTCGCCCTCTTCCTGGTTCCCGACCGGGTGGGATGGAAACCGGTCGGATCTCCGGTGAGGGATTGGGAAAGCGGTTGAGACGTTCCTTCTGAGCGGTACGGGTTTCAAGGAGAAAGGGAAGGGTAGCGGGGTCTTCTAGGTTCGGGCAGGGGGGTTTGGTTCCGCTCCTCGCGTTTACGTCGGACCCTGGGCACCGGTTTCGACAAGGCCTCCTCGGCCCGCGGCCGGCGCCGGACGACTTTCTACAAAAATGGGAACCGCCAGGGGGTTCCAGTCAGGAAGAGGAGACCTACCCGGGCCATTTCTGGGGCCCCGAGTGGGGGTCACTTTTTCCCTCCCGGGTTGACCACTCGGCGAGAAAGGGTGCCGTCTGGAGACGGAGCGCGGCGGTTTCAACTGGGTTTGGTATTCCCCTCATTTAGGGACGGTACTTTTTTTCTTCGAGAGGGTTTTTCACAATTAACTGGAGGAACCCCCGACTGCTTTCCGGAACACCTAACCCCTAATCGAGGTACTTCGCACTCTGAATTTATGACTTGATAAACAGGCAGGGGGGAACACTTTTCGGTTCGACGGAGGACTACCCGGTTTCGGAAAGGATAAAGTACCACAGGGTGTGTCTGGGCTGGGGTAGTGCAGTTTTCCTGGTAGTAGCTCTAACTTTTCTAAGTAACACTTGAGGTACAGCAAAGTCGGACAAATTTAAGACCGACGTTGTAGGGGAGGAGTAGGATCCAAAAGGCCGGACCGGGAATTTGGGTTCGTTTGGGATACAGCTAACCGCCAGGTCCATTTTATTCCCCACCCCCGTCCTCACAAGTGTTCCCAACAAAATTCACACACACTTTGTACCCGTCATCCTCCCCAAAGAACCCCTTACATTCATGGCTAGTCCAATGGTTATGAGTTGTATCGGACCTGGCGTTCTTAGTTTGGGGTCTAAATTGAAGACAAGGGTGGGGAACAAATGACTTTACTGGAACCGGTTCATAAACATTTCTACTCTGCGGTGGAGGAAGGAGGGGAGTATCCGGCATTACTAACACGGTAGTTGACAATGGACCCGAGGGTTAAGGGGCTTCCCATGCCAATATGAGGTAGAGCCCAGGCCTCTTTCCCCCGATTCCCATGAACCTGTGGAGTAGAAGCACCGTCCGTAGGCCGGCAGAAGGAGGGGGGCCGACCGGCCCAAAAAAAGAAAAACACCATTTTTCTCCCAGGGGAATCCGTACGTAACTAATAAGAAGGAAATTTTACTGGTAATGCCAGGTTCTTTTGTCCATAGGGAGAGGGGGAGGTACCGATGACGAAAACTTCGTTGAAGTTCCTGAGATTTGTAAAAATCGGGTCATCTGAACGCATTTAGGATTGGTAGGCCACTCTTAAGGCACTCCCCCTTATCACCCTTCTGACCAATTTGTTGTGGCTGTTCCCGTTTGATACTCATGGAGCAGTAACGAGTAAACCAGGAGTTGTTACGAGGTCCTCAAAAAGTTCCGTGGTAATTGCTACAAAATTTCCCTCAAAATTTTGGCAAAACACAAACATTAACTGCTTATAAAATTTATATCGAGGTGGACTTGTTTCTTGAGAGTACAAGTGGTACATGACAGTCCAGGACGGTTTTTTTGGAGGACCTCTTGTTTGAATACCACTTCCGTCTCTTACACTCAAAAAAGTACGATTCTGACATTTAGGGAAGGATCGAAATAGTATCGAGGGACCAGAACTAGGTCTACCTGCGAGCCGGGTTTTAGTCACGCACCGATTCACCGGATGCGTCTGTTTGGCGTTCCCCCCACCGTTGCAAAAGATTCCGAACGATTCGAAAAAATGTCCGCCGAAGTAGTCTTCAAAAGTCCCCGGCTAAACGAAGAGTGGGGAAGTACAGGAGTGCAGGCGGAGTCCACGGAAAACATTACCAGATGAGGTCCGGCTCCTCGCCGAAGGCGGCAGAGTTCCTCTTTCCAAGTGGAGGTCGGGGGGTAGGGTAGTAGTAGGGGCTGGGGTTGAGCAGTAAACAACATCTCCAACTGCGGGAGTTTACTTCCCCACCCCCGACAGGACCAAGCGTCGGCCAGGTTTCCTTCTGTTTGTTTGAGAGTAAGGGACACGGAAAGGAGGTTCTTTGAGAGGAGGAACCTTCTCGCCTTTGATACTGGCACCCCTTGGCACTCAACAACCGGCATTTCTAACGAGACCCCTTACCTCTGTAACCAAACCTCCCCGAGTCGAGGGGAATAATTCACCACCTAGGTGGGTGTTCTTAGAGGCTCATGTAATCCGTTTCCGATTTTTCTTTTAAGAGCGGTTAGCTCTACCAGAGACAAAAAATTGGCAAAACTGAAGTGAACGACAGAATGTCGGCCCCCAGGGTCTTGCAGGTTCGGGCCTACGGGACAAGGGCAAACAAAACTCGGGGCGGCTCGGCCAAAACGGTCTTCGGGACTTAGGTACGACGGTGACTTGGGCACCCATCCCGCCAGTGGAACCGGTTTATCTTAGACACCTCTTCGTTCGATTGCCACTCTCGGGTCGTGGATCACCAACAGGCGGTTTGGGCAGACAACACGAACAATGACATGCAGGTGTCCAGCAGGGTAACCCGAGTGAGGGGTAGCGACGAGTGGGGACGGTGGACCGCAGTTCTCCTGGTAGAAGAAAATAGTTCGTTGCAAAAACCACTCTAGGACCTCTGCACTCCAGGCCCTCAATTACACCTCCGGACAAGGAACCAGACGCGGCGGCGTTGTTCTGTGAGGGAGGGTCCCGTGTCCTACCCCGGGGACCGAAGGGGGTCGGCGAAAGGCCAAGGGTCGGCCAGGGACCAGACTCTAAGGGTCACCTAAAGCAGGTGACCCGGAGGGGTTACGTCTTCCATTGCGTGGTGGCAATGACGTCCACCACCTGGCAAAGATTCTTACCAAGTAATATAACCGGAATGGGTTCGACGGTAGACGGTTTTCTCTGGCCGTCTCTGTACACTGAGTACAACAAGGCATTAGGTACCAAAGGGGTTTTTCTATAACAAAGGAGTCTGGCCCCCCCAGGCGTCAAGTAGAGTGGCGAAGGACCCCCTCAAGAACGTTGAAGTAGCCCCGCAGCCACTCCGGACAGTAGGCCCATTGGTAGGCCTCAGGTTACCGGGTCTGCTTTGGGATTTAGCCTTAATCTTTGACTATTCTTTGACGGGCGACCCGAGTCGAAGTTTCTTGGCAGAAGGGAGGGACCCTTCGTCCGTAGAGTGTACCCAATCTCATTTGCGGGTGGTTGGTGCGGAGGGGTGGCCCGGGGATTAGAGCCCAACTGAGGGAAAGGTCCGACCGGATTACCCATTAGTTGGAGGATTGGAAGGCCTGGAGCTCTTCTTAAGTTGTCAGGGGCAGGGCGGGTACGGGACCAAGCCGCAAACAGTGGCCTAAGACCAGGCGGTTGGGGGCGTTCCCGTTAGAAAGATTCCTCACCCTTTGCGTACGCTTCCACGGCCGTCTAGCCTTTTTTTCGCAGGGCCGGGTCGGAGGCCTCATGCCGCGAAGCGCTGCTCTCAGCTGTTCAGAGTCGGCTGGGTTCATGTTTAGGCCAGTTCGTACTGTTACGACTGATTAAACGGGTATGAACTCAAATGCACAACTCACAGAATTTAACAAAAAAAAGGTTTTATTCAAACCAAAG